TCACACTCAGCAGCCTGCAGTTTCTGGACAGCAATGCTGGGGGCCGAGCTCCCAGGAAGAGCCCAAGAGGCCTGGAAATCAGGGACAGGAATGGCTCTGCTAGGAGGCTGGAAGGTGACTCAGGGGTGGTGTTGTACACATCAATGCCAGATAGCCAAAGAGAGACGGGAGAGTTTAAATACACTAGAACACCTCCTACCAAGAGCTCTCACTACTGACAGGTGTTAAGGCCGCCTAGACAACGTAGAAAAACAAAGGAGTGGACCCTGTGCAACTCTAGAAACAGAACTAAATCAAAAACGTGTTAGGCAATCCTAGGAGAAAAAAAGACACCTGAAACAGGAGACAGAAAACAAGTAAAAACCAGGAGGTAAAACGTGAGAAGAAGCACAAGAAACAATACTGAGCACTGAAAGGACTGAGAGCACACTTTATAAAGGGCAGAGGACAGGAGGTGTGGAGCCCTAGGTATACTAGTAGATTCATGATTGACTAGAGCCATCTGTGCGGTGTGCACTTCTACTGCATAGCTGGGCTAGCAACTGGTGCTTGAGATGCCCTCTGTTGGTGAGACGATGGAACTGTAACAATAGGTGCACAGCATATCCTGTCTCCATGACGATCAGGGCAGAGCGGAGGTGTGGCTGCCAGGTACTGCAACCGTGACATCGCTGAGGCGCAGCGTGGCATATGTCGTGACACGTGATAAGTCGTGAAATGTTGCAATTCATTGAAACACATTGTGATATGCCATGAATTGTTGTGATACATTGTGACATGGAGTGACACATGTGTGACATATCAAGACATGTTGTGACGTACTGGAATATAATGTGACATGTCACAGTAATAATAATTTCATATCAGCATTTCAGAAACCACATCTAAACTGGCTAAATGAGCCAACTGGCCTTTTCTCATTTGTGGCCTTTTTATGTTCTTTTTATGCACAAGCTCCAACCAATTTTTGAGACCTCAGTTCAATGGCCAGAATGAATTATTTATCAAGGGATTGGAAACTAAGAATTCATCAAATTAATTGTAGCAAATTAACTTCACAAATATTACTGTGCTTGTTTTAATATCTCCCCCAATGCTACAAACTCATTAGCATAGCAATTTAGTACATCTCACTGAGAATGTTTAACCTTTCTTAGCAGCTGCAACTAAAATTAGCAAGAGAAATTCAAAGAAACAATATTCTAAAGAAGTCATTTTAAGCTTCAGTATGTTAAGTTCAGGTCTTGAACATATTTGCTTAAAGCCAGAAGATATCATCTGAAATCACAAATTTATACAGTAACACAAAAGTAAGTTTGAAATGGATTTTTTGCCAAGCCCCATTAAATTTATTCATTGAAAGAACACTTCTAGCTCTTAATAGCTCAGCATGAGAGACTGGATGAAGACTTGGGGAACTCTATACAACAATCACCTTCTCTTCAGGGGTATCTCAATCAGGTGCCTAATTATTTCTCATCGGAGCCACTGTCGCAAAGAACGAAGGGTTGTTTTTAATACTTAAAAGCTAGGCACAGCTGTGTTTGCCTTCCTGTACACGGGAAGGCAGATCTGCAGGCTTTAAATAATATGAATCTGTTTGAAGATAAAATGTACAGATAAGATTTTGGATCTGGGTTATGTTTTTCACATTTTCTCACCGGTGCAGTAGAGACAGGAACTGATCAACAAAACTGCACTGACCCATGAAAGTCAGGGGTTCCTCCAAGACCCTCTCTCACAAAGTCAGTAGCCTTTTTTCACCACCTAACAGGAACAGGAATCTGTGCACATTTTGGTGCCAACAGGTAAACCTCACAAACCTCAGCTCAACAGGTGCCAACAGGTAAACCTCACAAACCTCAGCTCAAGGAGCTCAGTTGTGCAAGCAGCCTACCCACCACCTTCAGCAGTTCCTCCTGTGAAGCAAAAAATGTAATCGCTCTGTTAGCATTTCCTTACTCAATCTGAGTGATGCACAGACCACTTCAGCACAGGTGGTGTGAACCCCAGCATCAGTCTGCCACTGATGGAGTCAGGATTTTCCCAATTGCCATGCTGTTAATTTTTCATTATTTGTAGTTCATTTTTTTCAAAGTATACATTGCTTTTACTGTGCTAATGTTACACTTTGAAGCTCGTAGTCTCATGGAAGACTCTGCTCTAGGTTGGAAATAATTCATTCTATACAATAAAAGGGAATGATACACAAATCCTTCATGAATAATGTTAATCCTGCAGCCTATAGTTTGAATTATGTAGTTAAATCTGTTGTGTTAAAACCAAACAAGCTACTGTAGATGGGTCGAATTGGCACCCTTCTCCTGGTCTTAAATTAGTTCATGTAACAGGCTTTGCGATGAGTCACATACACTTGTTGTAAGTAAGTGGCTGGGTGGATTGTGGTCTTGTAGGGAAGTATTTTCTTGCTGGGAGTGTGGGGAGATGTGTGTGTGGAGGGTGGTGAGGGTATTTGTAGAGAACCACATGTGAGTCACTGCCAAAACTATCAGGAAGAAAGGTGTCTGAAATCTGCAAGAAGCAACACACATTCCTCTGCTCTTCCAAGCTACCACCTCCATTCAGCCACCTAAAAGATTTCCTTAAGGCAAATTCTATAGATGACTTTCTGCCTAATGTAGTGTGACAGTTTTTACTTAGACGCTGTCATGTTATATTACACAGAAGTGGATCACAAAAATATCCTGCAGTCATGTATGTGCAAAATGTGTCTATCCATGGTATTTACTTTAAGCTTTTAACTTTTAAGACAAGATCCTTGAGAGGTTGTGACCCTGGATTTCTTTAAAGTTATGCATCTTATTTAAAATGCATTGGTTACCCCTTCTTTCAAAGAGCCATGCAATGCTTTGATTAATTTAATTCTTGTTTCTTTTGTGGTTTTAATTAAATATTCTAGTGACTTTTTTTTTCTCAGTTACTGTATGTGTAGTGTTTTCATGGAAGAAACCATTTTTTAAGTAAACTACTAATGTAGGGTCCAACAGCTTTTACTAACAGGAACAAATGAAACCATAAACAGAAACATAAGCAAGAATTCTGTTTAAAATTGAATTTGCTTAAAGAGGTAGCAAGGTCCTAATGGGGTTGTTATGCATTTTTTGCACATTTTTATGTTTGCATATTCAATTCATTGAAATATTGAAACATTAACAAATTAACCAAGCTAGCAGTTTTATTCCTCTTTATATTTTCCTCACACCTTTAACTTTTACAAAAATCCAGTATTCCCCAATTTACCTAATAGTTAAACTTTTTGAGAGCTTAAAAAAAATTGCATTTTAAAAATTGCTTAGCTAATGAATTCGTAAGGTGGATTCAGTTTGAAGAAGAGTAAACAAATACATTTCAAGACTCAAAGACAGGTCCAACACTGGCAGACTAAAATAAATAAATCTTTTTTAGGCCAGAGAAGATTATGAGGGGGCCTGATTAAAGTATTTAAAATCTTCAAAGATAGTCAACCCAATAGACTTTTATAAAATCCTTAGAGAAACACAAACCAAAGGACAAAAGTGGAAACTACAAAGAAGAGCATTTCAAACTGAGAAAAGAAAGCTTTTTTTACAAAGTGTTAAGACAGTCTGGACCAAGGCAGCAAGCCATATTGTCAAAGCTAATATCATAGTTTTTTTTTCTGTAATAGATTCTTGGATCAATTAGCTGCTCATATCATAATAAGCTATACGGGCCGAATATCATTTTTTGTTCATAAAAAATATGATAAAAATGATAATTTTAATGACATTTCAAAATTCTTGTTTCTGCTTGTGACATTTAATTGTCACTATGGAAATGTGAAGGTAATCACAACTGTTAATGCTTTTGACATTTCAGTATCCTTCTAACAGCTTTGAAGTCTCCTACCAATAATATATTTACTGTATTTGAGGTCTCACACATCAACACTGCATCTCTCACTCTGGCCGATGTATTTTTCTTGGCTTGCAGCTGAATTGAAACAGCTTATGCCTGCCCCCTGCAGGCCATGATGATCAATTGATTTATAAACCAATACAATTCTCTTCTAATGCTATTATTAACTAAATTGACACAATAATATAATAATATATAATAATAATATAAGATTGTAACCTGCATAGTCTTATATTTAAACTATAAAAATAAACAAATAAACAAATTTGGTTATATTAAGTATTAGCTCTAGTATTACACTAAGTATTAAAAATAATTAAATGTAAAGTTTTGGTATATGTCAGCAGATAGTAGGATATAAATATAAGCTATTACTATAGTCTGTGAAGTTAAATGTTGTACAGTATGAACATACCTTTTCTGAAATATTATGGCTAAAATAGCTGTACTAAAATGAAACTGATTTTTGGCAACTAGACATATTTCCAGTTCTTTATTTTGCTCCAAATACATTACAATACATGATTACCAAGCTTAAGACTTATATGAAATGTTTTCTATAAAGCATAATGTAGAAAAAAATGATTTTCAATATAATCTAAAACCTAATGTTTCAGCTATAGTACCCAATGATCCTGAATTGAAAGAAGATGTTAGAAAATGAGTGAATGGATAACTATAATATGCAGTGACAATTTATTTGTATGGTATCCATACATACACAATTATATAAGAATATTTGTAAATGTTAGGACAGTTTTGCCTATTATTTTGATCAATGGCTGTACTGGTTGGCTGAATTTGTATTAATTGTTTGTATTCCCATAAATGTTGATAGTTAAATGATTTACAAAATGTGCAGTTTCCAGCTATTTGAATGACATATGCTCCCCCTGCTGGTAAAAAAATAAATTTCAGTAATCTACATTTTCAGTAACAAAATGCATATCAGCTTGTTGAACTCATGCCATGACAACATCTGAACAAGAAATGAGGAGAACAATTTTTATGGTCCAGTCACACACCAGATGTATTTTATTATTCATAAATTAATTCATTCATATTAGCTCTAGATTTAAATGATTAAATATGTTTTTCTAAACAAAATGGTGCATTTCATATTCTTAAATTATTTTTTGTTAAAAGAACATTCTTATAGTTAATACTGTTATTTCTTACAACTAAATTTCAGTATATGATTTTGATATATTTTCAATCATTGTTAAAGCATTTTGTTACAACCCATGGTAGTTAAGTGATTAAGTGATTTTTGTTCAGAGAAGTTGTTTTCTGCTTATATACTGTAACTGCAGTTTTAACAGAACATAAAGTGCACATCAATAAAGAAATGGTTTCATGCTATATTTACATATTACATAAGGAGAAGAAAAAAGCTCAATGTGTTTCAGCTTTTTTCTCTCATTGAATTCTTTGTCTCAAGCAACTAAATTCTTAATATAAGAAAATACTGCACACTTAAAGACAATCACTTTTGGGCAGCGTTTTCATATTAATCAGACTCCTGTTGATGCTTCTTCTACAAATTTGCCAAACCTGAACATGAAGAGGATCAATTCTTCCAGGCAGGTCCTCAACGTCAGTCAGTAATGAAGCTGAAATGATTGTGGACCACAGAACAATGAAGCCAGCTACAAGCCTCTGAAGAATTTCAGAGCAAGCTCATAGCTAAGGAACATGGTGGCACTCATTGGGAATCCCCGAATAGCATTTACTGTAGTGCCTCGAAAGAATACCTAAGAAACAAGAAAATTCATCATCAGGAGCTTTTCAATTATACCAGTGACACAATTTACCCCAAGAAAATGATATACTGATTCCCATAATTGACCATAAACTGAGTGCAGGGTACAGTATGTGTTTCTTTTATATTTATGCATACAAAACTGTATGAAGAGGTGGAACAACAATACTTTGGAAAGTCATGGGATTTTGTTTTAGCTGTAAGAAAATAAAACATAAAAGTGTTTATTTGGAGACAAATTAATGCAATGCACAGATGCTGTAAGACTTTTCTTTATTCCTTTTGTCTTATTAGAAATACTGTCTCTCCAGAACAAGTCGGATTCAATCTGTGTAACATGCACTCAGTTTTTCTAACTTTAATCACACAGTTGAGATCTACAGGATAGGCTCTATTCTGCATCAAGTGGCTTGGCTATGGACAATTCTTTCTCTCTATATAGTATGCTTACTTGTAACCCATCTGTCTTGTAACTCTGCAAGATACAGTGGGAAATCCCTTTGTATTGCCTTTGGTGAAGAGCATCAGCTTGGAGTCGGCTCTTCACTACATCTGCTGGTGTTGCAGTGACCCAGGAGATCGAACCTACAGAAAACAGTTCTGGTTGTAAATCGGTATACATGTTGCAATTGAACTTTACTTTAATTTGATTGACTTTTCACAAATCTAGCAGTTCTGCACTTACAGTACATTGAAATAATAAAACACTGGGGTTAACACCCTTAATCTTTTCAGGAAACACCCTGGGATTTTTAATGATCACAAAGAGTCAGGACTTTGGTTTTATGTCTCAACCAAAGGACAACGCCTTTTTAACAGTATAGTGTGCCCTTCACTATACTGGGGCATTAAGATCCACACAGACTGCAGTGTAGCACTCCTTCCTGGTCCCAGCCTCAGCTTTCCCAGGAGGTCTCCCATCCAGGTACTGGCCAGGCTCACACCTGCTTAGTTTTCATGGGTTACCAGTTGTACAGTAAGTTGCAGGGTGAAAGTCTGCAGGTATTAGCAAATCAAGAAGTATCAGCCATTATTTTAGAGAACTAAAAAGTTTTTGTCCCCAGGATCTTAAAAAAAGGTAAAATGAGAGCAAGTATATCATTGTTTGCAGTTGACAAATTGCTGGTGATCGTTGGTGGTGATTGACAAATTGTCAATAATGAATTGATAAAGAATCAATGGTGATGAAGTGTTTTAGACCTCTAGTTTACATAACTCATCTTACAGTGAAAGATTACATAATTGTATGTATGTCTAAATGATACAGTATATTACTGGTCATTTCAACATCCATGATCCATTTTAAGTCTGTCCATGACAAGTAGAAAGAAATTCTTACTGAAGATACAAGCAGGTATAAAGATTCCCAGCAGAAGCTGGGAATAAGATGACCAACCCTTTGTCGAGACTGAGAAGTATCATGCAAATGTATTATATTCTTATATACTAATGACTATAGATCCTTTATTTTATGTTATTCATTAAAATATCTAATTATTTAAAAATTAATAGGATTTTCTCTCCTGTCCTCTCTTCTTTTATAGGATGTTGTTCATCTTTGTTACCTTATTAACTATTTCAGAACATGACTGGCTTGCACTACTTTGCATAACTCCACTGACATACTGTATGTTGAATACCAATATAATTCAAATGCTGAAATTTAAAAGTTTGAAAGTTTAATTGTAATGTAGCTGTTTTAAGATCTGAGCACATTTGTGTTACATGCTTATTATGCTAGCTTTTCAAATCAAAGTGCATACATCCTTTAAAAAGAGGCAGGTACTTCAAAGAGGTGAGCAAAATGCAATTAAAGAACAACCTGTACTTAATTTACACTTCTAGTGTGAAAATATTAAATCAATGTAGAAACAATTACAATGACATTTACAGTTAAAACCTACTCATATAGCCCATAGTATTTGGGAGATCTAATCCAACAGATATTCTTACAATATGCAAAGACTTCAGTTTCTGGTAAAGGGAGAACCATGTACTGTACTTTACCTGATTCTGCAGTATGGTGTGCATTGTTTCTTCAATGAATTAGATTTTTTCACATTCAGAAATTAGGTTTCCTAATACAAAAAGGTATGAAGAGGCAAAAGGGTAAAACATTCATGCACCCCAGTATTCCCTATTCTGCAACAATTGTGATGTTCCTACAGTTTCTTACCAGCTATTCCACCTGCAAGCCAAATGCAACAAGGGTGAGGCGAAGCATGTCCCTCTGGTGTCATCCAGCCACAGAGCAGGGCGTAAGGAATGAAGTAGAGAGTATACCCTGGAACATCTCTGAGCACCATGGCCCAAGCTCCACGATACAGCCCAGGGACCCCTTCATTTTGGAGAATGTTGCTGATGCAGTGAAGAGGCCCCCTGTACACTACTCTCTCTTGGACCCCAACTGTGCGCCAGCACTCACCCGCAAGATTCAAAGCCTCTTTAAAGGGAAACACATTTTTCATTCAAACAGTGCCATCTTTTCTAAATACCACAACCCTGCATTTTGTAATACACCTGCTTCAGACTTTGAGAAAAGATATTGGTATCTTTTTGTCATTTTCCAAGTGCTTTCCAAGTGCTTTAAATTCCTCACATTTTACACTGCTGCAACATTAACTATAGGAAACATGGTCTGGCACATTACATTTTTGTGATAAATAATTACGTACGCAGAAATTAGCAAGGAAAACAAAAATCAGATATAACAGCTATAGGTGGGTGTTGTCTAGACAGGCTCCACTTAAGTCTCATAGATTTTAAATATACCGCAGTTCACTATTGAGTTTAAAGTTAAGCTTTTCCATTGCAGCACTAAATCCATATGCAGCTTTTTAAGATCCATCTTAAGATTCTGGAAAAACAGATTTCATGGCACACGGCAGGGTTTCAATTTTGCTTCATGGTAATTGAATGAGAATGTCATTGACAGCATGGGTAGCAGCCAACATGAGCACTGTTTTTCTGTTGTGGAAATTCTTCCCAGCACACTTCACTTTCTTTAAGAAAACATTAGAGGATTTTTGAGCACTGAATTTGTGTTTTAGTTTTCAGCATTTCTTTGAAGAGCATCAGGATCCCTGGTTTGACAGGTGCCTCTCGAGTTTGAATTATTGTTATTTAAAACGAGCTAAAATGCTTAGTCTACCTGTAACAACAGGCTGGGTCTGCATCTGCAGCCGTATTTTCACCAGATCCACAGGGGCACCAATCCCTACAGAAATGAAGCCAGTCATCGTGCTGGAGAGTACCAGGTCCAACATATCGGAAGGATGCCTCCTGTCGCCATGGCGAAACTGGCTAATAAGCCGTTGAGTGTTGCTGAAGGTGCCAAATACCACCGAGTTGTAGAGAGTTATGCTGGCCAAAGGAAAAGACAGGCCTTTGAAGAACCCAGAAACCTGGCAAGAACAAAAAGTAGGGAAAGTACGTTATGGGTTAGCAAAAAACACTACTAGCAGGAAGCCTCAGAAATGGCAAGAGAAGGTGAAATTCTTTTTTCTCATTTTCTAAAGCCATTTAAGGTCCAGTTATTTTCCATCACTCTCAGGTACTGGTGATAACTACAAATGTGTGCTTTATACAGCTGGAATTTTAACAGCATGTTCTGAATACCAACCCACGCTGGAAATAACCACAGTACACAGCTTAGAGACAAGCACAGCTTGAGTGATTTATGTCACAGAACAAAATAAAGCACTCATTTATTCCAGCTTCTGAAAAAAGAAATCACTTAACAGATGAAGCATAATTTATATGCGCAGTCAAATATTTTAAAAAAGCCTGAGCTAGTGAGACACTATACAGTAATTATTTCAAATACTGTATATAGAGAAACATCTTTGTGGAACTATTTTTTAAAAATATTTCAGTCTCCCTCTTATAAGAGTGTTTTTGAGAGGACCTTGCAATATTAAAGATGAGCTGTTGTTCTTTTTTTGCATTATCTAGCTATGCCAATTTTAAACAGACATCACTGTTATTATCACTGAAAACATCAAATATAAGTGAATTAGCTGTAAGCAAGAAATAAAATAAGAAAATACAGGTGGCTTCTTTATCGAACATACATTCTAGTTCCCTTGCCAATACCTAATACATTTATTTCAGTAGTAGGCTAACATTCATGGACCTAAATTTATCTAAGCCCACTGCCTTCTTTTAATTTTTTAACTTGTCTTCTTTGCCAAATCCTGAATATGAAGTGTTCACTAATTTATGATCTACATACTGTATTTGACACGATGATGGAGGACTGTTGCCTTAATGGCAAGTCTGGTAGAATTGTATCATATCATTTATATTCAAACAAATATATGCTTTTAATATGTAGCAATTATTTAATTGTGCTACATAGTTATAATGTTATTGTGGTTTGTGTCTGTAGAGCACCCCGCAAGTGGTTTTAAAAGAATGGTCTAACTCAGAGGTTTAGCTTCTCTTCAGAAGAAACCTTAAAAAGATAAAGGACTATAATACAAAACTATATCAGATGGCAACATTTTTGTGTTTTGAAATTACATTTATCATCTTTCTTTTGTGACAGAGTTGTAAACACAATAATTCTTCCTGTCTTTTAAACCTTAACATCACAGAAAAGACATTAAAAAGCAATCAGGCTCTGAAATGATACACAAAATAAAAAAAAAGGTCAGACACTTACATTTTCTTTCTGGTAGACTTTAAGAATGCAGTGTAAAGTGTTTTTGTACCCATTTCCAGCTTGTAAACGTGTCTGCAAGACAGAATGATAAACTCAGGGAAATATACAGTATAGAAGAAGAGAAAATAACCACACCGTAGCATCAGAACAATCAGAACAGTCCAATGTCTGCGAAACTGGAATTACACAAACTCAGACTATTCTATTAATCCTGAATTTGTCATGGTGTTCAATATGTATTGAATATTGCAGTTTGGTATTTATAATGTTTATACAGTATGTTTCCTTCCATGCAGAATACAATCGTTATCTAAATGTGGAAATGCAAAGTCATGTATGCTAATAAAGTTAATTCAGACACTGTCACATCACCTGCCCCATCACTCTTTTCTTCTTAGAGACTAGGTGAACAAAGCAGCTTGTTGCCATTTGTTCACCACTGTTGTCCTGACTACAATTAGATTCGGGACATATTGTAATCAGTTCAATTCACAGAGTTGCCTAAGCACACAACCATTCACACCTTAATTTAGGAAACTAAGATCTCTGAGCTTCATGTTTTAAGGCAGAAAAACAGTCCTGAGTCTTGATTCAGTGACCATGTCTTCAAACTCTAGACTAGATGCAAACTAAGTCCCCTGGTAATGTTGGACTGTGCCAGGTAGAGTCACAGACTATGTATGCCTTTCTGGATTCACAGTCTATGAAGCCTGGGGAGTCCTGCTCCAGAACAAGGGAATGTGCAGCTTTTATTTTGGAAGACTCATATCCTTCCTGAATCAACATGTGCACACACTGCACCCCTTTCTCATGCTGACGATTAACTGAGAGTTTTTCTTACTTGGTTCACATGTGTGCTCCTTTTTTGAGAAGAACTGCTCTTAGCTGTGGTTCCAGCATCTCATCTCTCCACACTCTCCTTCACAGAGGTCTCCCTGTGCCTCAGAGTGCCCCCTTGAAAGAACCACTGGAGTGCTGTCTTTTGCTACCACTCAGGATGATATTTGCACCTTATCGTGAAATAATGGTGCCCCATCACATCCCTCCATGCCCCCTCTAAGGACACAAGTATTTTAAATCCAGCTGTTCCACCTGTTCCACCAGCTTTGGGAATCAGTGCACAGACCTTGGATGGGGGCCCCAGTCAGCCCACCATCCATTTTGGTTCTATCTCTGGGACAGGGAGAGCACTTCTGAATCATTGCCCTGGCACCCTGTTGGCCTCTGTACAGTATGTCAAAAAGCTGCTGTGCTCTTGAATCACTTCTCCTCCTCCAGCTTCCCCTGTGACACACCCTCCTGAATCAGACAGGAGGCAGTCTGTGGAATCTCTTTACTCAGTTTCACGCAGTTCTGTATAAGGACCTGAACGGCACTGCTTAACCATCTTAAACCTCACACACAGTGGGGTATATATGCTCCTGAGTGCCTGCACATTCTCTACTTGACTGTAGTACACCTGTCTTTGCAGTCTGGTGTGTTGTGGAGTGTGGAGACTGCATAAACCTCCATATACAGTACCTAACTACTGTACTTTGTCATCCAATTAAGACAGGTGGAAGGAGAAACAATAGGCTTGAATTATCTAGTGTCTCTTTCTCTGTTGTCTATGTAATGATTGCCTTTCACCTGAAAGGGAAAGTTTGGCTATCATATTGACCATGGCTCTTTGAAAACGAAGGCACAAGCAAACAGCAACAAGATCCTTTTTTTTAACTAAAATTATTACTACAGTATTACTACAATCATTGATCAGGAGATTGAGAATTTATAGCTACTTCTATTAATCTACTGTACATCAGTGACATCACAGAATATTCAGGGGCTTATGTTTCACACCTGAAAGACACTAAAAATATCGTAAAATGCTAAGTGCATTCAACCTGAATATTACATGAAGCAGGTCACTCTATGACACTTTGCAGCCAAATGATCTGCAATTGTTTTGTTTTTCTCACACCATGACTTGAAGGACCATGAAGGTGTGTAAACAGTCAAGAAAAAACAGTCTGTAGTCATTTAGAGTCAGAGAAACATATAAAATGAATCACATCAGTGTCCTTGATGTTCAAAAGAAGCACTAAGTGCTGTTTAGCAGGAAGAGATGCTATGTCCAAGTAGATTTAACCAACAGATTTTACAATTTCTAACCCAAATTAGGAGTTTAATTCTAAAGACGAATAAGTCCCTGGGATGGCAAAAAGAGTTTGACCGCAAGAGTTCAAGTTCAAGTTTATTGTCATTATACTCATATACTGGTATATGGTATAATGAAATGCTATTTAGCTAGCTCTCAGATGATAAGTAGTACTAAAAAACAACAATACAATTGTATGATAAAAGAAAGACAGAGACATCAGGCAGTGTGCAAAAACAACAACAGAGAGGTGAGGTGAGAGTGAGAGAGGCTGGAAGTTTAATAGTTTGATAGTGCGGGGATAAAAACTGTCTCTGAGTCTGGTAGTCCGACACGAATGCTCCGGTACCGTTTTCCAGACGGTAGAAGGTCATATAGTCTGTCTATTTGAGCTGCCTTTTCAAACCCATGTAAGTCTCCAGAATCCAAAGTAAAACGTGAATTAAACACAAGTAAATGCGGTAATTGCACTTCGGCATTTGGGATTCTATTTCAGACTACTTTCCTCTTCTTTACAACTTGGTAAAACCCTGCCCTACAATTCCAACAAATTGGGTGGACAAGGCTTCAGTCCACAGAGAATCAGAGTCTGCTCATGGATGCCCCATTCTAATGTTTAATTCCAGAGGAGAAACATCAACCAAGAATTCATGCACAGAAAAATATTTACATAGTGTTTAATTGCAATATTTGGCTCAGCGCACCTGGCTGCGGGCCAGCCGCCTTGCTGGAGGACATAGAGACTGAGAGCCCCATGCAGAGTACAGAATTAAGGGTTCTCAACCGGTCAATCAAGGGGTAGCTTACTTCAAAAGGATTACTTACGGTATTTATAGTTGTTGTTTTTATTATTTTGGAAATAATCACAGTACATCTTATTTTGATTCAGTACAAAACTCATTAATTAAAATTAATTGATTCAGAAGATTCGCTGTAAATGTATTTGCAAATAGAAACTTTAAATAACCCAAAAAGTATTACCTTTACAGTGTCAAGTGGATGCCCCACAATAACACTGGAAGCTCCTAGAATTATAAAGAAAAAAATCAGAATCAGAAAGATACTTAGTTCAATTTCCCATGTAGACAAAAACATTGCATAACAATCATGTCTAAATACCAAAGACATACTGTATTAAACCATGAGCACCTTAACCCTATGTGCTGAAGGTCTGCAAGTGACAGGTTACTGTCAAAGAGCAGCGAAACTACAGTATCTTAGTATTCACCGATAATGTGTACGAGATCACGTGTGTGTGTTTCATATTAATACTAGGTGATTTCCTAGCAGAGTGAAGTAAAATATTTTCTGATGATCCGTGATTATGTTCAGGACAAACACATGCAGGTACTGTATATATAATACAAAATAGTTCAAGTACTGTAGGTGGCTGTGTCAGCATGCGTACTGTACGCTACAAAGGAACAAGTAAAGGTTTATTCAATGCTGAAAAGCGAAGAAAAACAAAGTTTTAAGCTGTGGAGCCTTGACACCTGAAGAAACGTTGTGTTTCTTTTCTTCTCTTTTCAGCATGGAATGCTGTAGGCTTCCAGAATCAGGATTGGGAATCCTAGGTTTAGAGATTTTCCCAAACATCAACATCTTAATGGTACAAATACAATCACCTGTAAGCAGGGAAAATAATCAATTGAGCTTGTGCTAAATATACGTTTCTGAGGCCTTTGACTCTTCTCAAATGATCCGGATTCTCCTAACACCCATCTTCTTATTTAGCGATGAAGAAATATGTAATTAAGACAAAAAAAATCTATACAGGAATTTTGTTTTACACGTTTTCTCAGAAACGCGGTCTCAAAATTACGTACCACTGTTCTGCATTTCAACATATATTTTGTATGTACGCCTACATGTTGAAGTTTCGGGGAAAGAGATTTCATTAATAGAAGATTCGGGAAAGCTGAGAAAGTAGGTTAATTCATGCCTCTGATGGCGTCAACCTTTTTAGTATGCAGCGCATACCGTTCGACTGAGTGCATTTTCAAAACTGTCCTGCACCCCGAAAGTTCCAAATGCAAATATATTTGACATAATAATATAAAGAAGCATTGCCAAGGTCAGTTTTCCAGACAAGTAGCACACTGCTGTGCAGTAAATATTCACTATAAATACAATATACAGCATATAGCCAGCATTGTAAACAACATACATCATGTTTACGCAATATATATATGCCAAAATATCTAGTACTGTATATAATAAAGAAATCTACAAGATCAATAACAATATAATTAGGAACAAATTAACACTAACAATAATAGGAATTTATATATTCTAGATGTTGTTACAAGAAAATTAAGGTTCCCCGTTTATTGTGGAATACAATCTTAATTTTTGTATTCTTTCGAGTTGTATTTAGTGTATGTTTATTTCCAATTCATATACAGTATATAATCATATACAGTTTATACAGTATAAACTGGATATCTGCTTAAATTTAGATCTAGACCCTTTCCTTGTTAATGATGCTGTGTAAATATTTACAAAATAAAGTAATTCAACGCCGTAAAGGTTTGTTTAATCGAAACTTGTTGCAAAGTTTCCAAACAAGTCCGACAAAAGCGCACTCACCGCCTATCCACCCAGCTACAAAGTCATCTATATGAAAGCAATTCATTTCTCGCTGAAGGTCCAGCTTTAAAAAAAAAACAAAACAGCACTTTTAAGGGATGTCACCCAGCTATGACATACTGTATGTCAGGAGAGTTTGAGACCTAACAGGGCTCCGCCTTCTCCATCTGTACAGGCGAAATGATAACTAACTGTACATGGCATGTGAGAACTATGTTTTTTCTAGATGAACTTTAGTTGGCCAAGGGGAGTGTTTCTGACTCCTGGAGGCGTTACCGTTCAGCACAAAGCCACTGGTCACCACTGAGCTGAGGATAAGCGGGTGTTGTCCGGACACAGCGAACGGGCTACTGGTTTCAAAGGCGTGATTTTTTCAAAGTTGGTTGTTTTTTAGTAATATGCCCCGCGCCCCCACCCCTTTTTCTTTAAATTGCATAACCGGTTATTTATATAATTTAGCTGTATCGACATTAACCTTTTTTTTTTTTGCTCATGAAATACAATGTGTCATTAGTTTCAGCACAAGCTGCTGGGCTCTTTTTGAGGAATGCCTGGTGCAGTCAGCAACTGTTGGAATTTATCTCTCAGTTGTTTGTTATAAAGTTGACGGAGGAAAAATAAACTTTTTCGTCGTTTCCGTACTACACAGTGCTTGTCGTATGTTCGTGTGCTAAAAAAAACTTTCAGGTGAATTAATGTTTTCTAGCATCAGTTCACAGGAGCAGTTGAATGCATACAGTACTACCTTTAAACCATGCAGAAAAAAAAAGTTTCGCGTGGCAACGTATTTAATTCATATTTTAGCTGATGGAGAGGCACGTCTATAATTTATGTATGAACCTTTCTAAAACTTACCTCCTGGCTATTTTCGCCAACGCTGTCAAATCAAATATTTAAGTGGGCACCTTCGTGCCCCTGGGCAGTATAGGCTTATTTGGTGAACCAATGAATTAAGTGAAGGTCTGTAATTTGTTATGTCCGCTCAATTATAACTCAATACTTACTTGATGTATATAAATTTGATATATATATATATGTGAGTGTATATACAGTACATAATATTTTCTCCGTGTGTACGCCTGGGGGGTATGAGGCCTTTTTCTAACAACTTTGCATCTCTAGTTGGTATTTAAAAACCGTGACGTTGAAAAAACAGGAAGAAAAAAACCTGCAAATTTCCACAGAATAGTGTGTCTGAATGCTTTTGTTTTTTCGTGGATGTTGTACCTTGAGGTTAGCTTTACTTTGAAAAGTACCGTCTTTTTAATCTTTATAGCCTGAAAAAAGTACATCTGCTGTAGGTGAGGCTGTTGAAAACCTTAGAGAAAAGCATTGTATTGTGACGGCAAAGAATTGTTAATTCCTTCATGTATTTAAATAGCAAAAGATGCAGACTCTTTTTCATCCAAATGATCTATATTTTATGTGTCTGAATTTGATTACCTCTTAAAATACGGAAAATACTTAATTTTACCTACCGTATAACGTCACTGCAAATAATTATGACCAACAGTTTATATGTTTAAATTTATGTTTAGGTTTAGTTCTGTATTTTTTACAAGACGTTGTTTTACAGTAAAAACGAATAAACTGCAAACTGTTTATCTTGTGGTAACAGTCGCTAAAGGTTTGTTCTTCCTCTATTTCTGTTATTCACTCACCTGGCAAATAAGAGAATATCAATCGCCAACTAACTTAAAAAATCACCGTCTGCAACTTCACAAGAATTAACCCTTTGAAATGTTTAAGGGCAATATGATCAATTATAATTTCATTATGATATAATAAGTTAACAATATCTCTTAATTTTCAAATAATAAACCTATCAAACGGATCTGTTTCTAGGCACGTAACGTACCCATTCCACAGACATTTGTTTTCCATTTGCAGTAGCAATTGTATCTCTGAAAATATTCCAACTGAAATATTTAACACAAGTTGCGTGCTTTGATCTTCTATTATACACGGTGCACATTCTCAATGTATCTTTTTTACCTAGAAAGAATGTGAGACGGAAGTGTACCAAGGTCTCTGAAGCTACTGTTAATACTGAATGCATGACAGCATTCAGGAAAAGTTGCAAGTTGTATTGTGCCACAATGTGTTTTTTTTTTTTTTTGTTGTTGTAACACAGGACTCCCTCTCTTCATGGACAGTCAAGCATACAACTTCATCCATGAAGTGGGAGCAATTGCTTTATTTAAAAAACGTTATCAAAAATCTGGATGAATGAACACATTGAATTTGTGCGGGACATCTGGTTTCTACTGACCTCGGGGTGTACGCTCAGACATAAACCTACTGTAAAAGTGTTAAGTGAGTGGAGGATTTTACTCTGTCAGCAACATCTGAAACTGCCTTGGCAGTGCCATCTTGGCTATTTCTGGGGGTTGTCTCAGGTTACTTTGGGGGTTCATTAATGGTGTCTGTTTTCATTTGCTTTAGAGATGTGTGCATTGGAATTCCACTTTCTGTTTGCTTGAAGAGTTCGTAGTTACTTCCTTTTCCACAAGTTTGACAAATAATTATTTGCAGCTTATTTCTTTATGTTGTCACTGGTCTTCTTGTAGGAAAGTTGTTTCCTTTTTCTCCCTCAAATGAATGCAAGGGCAGTATAGCGATAGAAGCTGCTTTATGTTCTTCCATTTACTGTGCCTTGCAAAACTATTCAGGTTCATGCTTTGAAATGACAAAATAATGCATACACATAATTTCAAAATCTGAATGCTTAAACTGAAGCTTTTCTTTTTAAGTAAGTCTCTGTCAACTTTGCATGCCGGCTTGGTGCATTTTGTTTCCATTCTTCTCGGCAGATACAGTAGATTCATGTTTTGAAGTCCCCCAGATTCTCAATCTCACATCAGAACTTTCACATCAAGGTCATTTGCTTTCTTATTTTTAAGTCACTCAGGCACAGGCAGCCAGAAAATACTTTTGATTTTGTAGGGAGTAGAGAATATTTTGAACAACACTGAACCATTTGATATTTGTCTCCAGAATGATCTGTTCTGAGATAGCCTGTATCATCTCTAAATAAATAAATAAATTTGTGAGCACATCTCCCTGTGTTTGCGTGGTGCTCCAGTTTCCTCCCACAGTCCAAAGTCACATTGTGGATTCTAGAAAAACTGACAAAATGTGAGAGTGTGTCCTGCTATAAGGTGGTGTCGGGTCCACAGTGTACCCCACCTTCTGCCCATTGCTTCCCGAGACAGACCCCAGCTCTCCCAGATCCAGAACTTAATGACATGGTTAGATTAATGGATGGACATTTAACCTGATGTAATAGCAGGTTCATAGTACTCTATGCTTAATATGTTCTTCATAGAAAATGCACAGAGACATGACACAGACATACTGTAAATGACATAAATATTTAGAGAAACTGACTCACAGAGTTTATTTGAGCAATAATTCATGGACGATAAGGAAAACTCTGGTCAGAGTATGATCAAGTGACATAAAAATATATCTATACTGTATGTCACTATCATATCATACTGTAGTTTTATATGAACCTTGAGGATAACTATGATGATAAATAATGTGATATAGTTGGTATAAAAGTAACAAACCCCACAAAGACAGAGATAAGAATACTAAATGGGAGAAAAGAAGACTAAATGACTTAAAGGTAGATATAGATATAGAGATACAGAGTGAGCTCAAAGGTTACTCCTTTATTACTTATTTATAGTCATTCTTTCTTTATAGACCTGAACATTTGCATCTGGGATTTTCGTTCACCCTTTGATCTACAGTAAGGCCAAACTTAAATTAAACCATTTAATACATTTTATAGAGTGCACACCTTTATGACTGCAATAAAATGAGACAATTTGATCAGACACATTTGACTTTATTCAGAACTGAACTTTCGTCTTGCACTAAAGCTTGGTTTGTGTCTTCACATAACTAAATACTTGCTGATTCAATGACTTAAACTAAACTAGGTATGTGTCAGCAAAAACAAGTTAATTATCAATTAAAGTGAATCTTGGTAAAGGTCCAGCTTTCTGATGTCAAAAGCCAACATCTCTAAAAGGGAACCCTTGGAGATGATGAATTAATTATCTCGAACCCCAGCAGGAGTCTGAACATTAAAAGAGTCATAATATTTCTAAAATGCCCTTTGTTTTGTGAGTGAAAAGACATACAGTACCAGGATGAAGTAAAACTGCTCT